TATATATATATACATATAATGAAAATCCATCCTCGCCTGGTCCTTGATTCAAGAGTAACTCGAGATGTAACATCGATATCTGAACGCGGTAGGCATCGGAGCCTCTGATCTAATTGTGAATGTGCCAACAATACCAGTATTCGCATTTATACGGTCTCTTACTGTTGTTATAACAGACGAGAGTCCGATGCGAATGCAACGTTACGATTATAAGCGCAGGACAGACGGAGGATAATTGTGCTTGTACGCCGATATCGATATTAATTATAATTGAACCACGAACGCAAATGTTGTTCGTATTGAATAACCATCTGCACGTCGTAAATTTAATGCGTATTATCTACTGATCGAAAATAATATTGACGGAGATCTTTGCGGTAAAGTTATAATATATACTCACTATAATAGTCAAAAATTTGTAATTTTTCTAGTAAATTTGACTCTCTGTAATATATTTTATTCGTACGTACTAGCTGAACATATTTTAATATAACAGTTCTATTGTTTGAATAACTTTTCTCATTTATTGTTAATTATTAAATTAGTTTTACGGTAATACGTTTTTTGACCTAATTAAATATTATTCGATATCGTTGACTGCTTTAAGTTGCAGTCCAATTGCATTACGTGTCATTATTGAATATTAAATGATTTAATTAGGCTCTTATGCTTGGAAGCAGTAATTTATTAACTTTAAGTAACGGCAAAATATATATTAAAAGGGCTCGTGAATATCGTACATAATACGTACATAATATATTTAAGTAGCTGGTGAGGGTAATATTCTTGTTAAATTAAAAATCTTGATTGACCCAAAGCAGTTGTAGAGAATCACGTGCTCTGGCTTCATTATCGTGTGCATATTATGCATGATAAAAAGCTGCACGATAGAATAGCAGCTTGAAGCTTGTACAGAGTGTTTAAAAATTACTCAATTTAATTACAGATTCAGTGACCTATTTGGAATCTATTTTTCCTAAGGAAAAGCGATGAGTCACCTGTAGAGTTTCCGAGTGATTAACTAACGAAAATAAATGACTTTTAAAGAATTCTATTTAAAACAAAATAAGAATGTTGTTTTATTAAAAAAAACCCGATAAAGATTTTTCCTAGACCAACTGCAGTTATATGAATTGTCAATATATTGCGAACAATATTTGGTATTGCGTTACAGTAGTTAATACGCAAAACAATAGACGTCGAGATTGTGAGATGATCTGTACCATCTGGACTTACAAAGAGAAAGGGGCGTATCCTAGAATGGATGCACTAATGCACCAGGCTGCATAAATCGCGACGATGGAGAGCGAGCAATGCAAGAACGGTCATGCTCATAAACAAGTTCCTGCACGAGAGCGGCGAAATGCGCTTTTAGAGGGCACGTACATTCACCCTCGTCCTCGCGCCCTTTGACACCGTGATGGCCGGTGTAACAAGGATTTGCAATGGTAACGACGGTGTCTTGTGGCCTGTAAAAGCGCATAAGAGGACGCGCTGTGCGCAAAGCATTCGCGTTAGTGCTCTACATTGAGGACACGTCTGTCCGACTGTCTTCAAATGTGACAAACGAAAAAGAAATTTTTATAACAAGAAAAATCAGCATGTTCTTGTAACATTCAAAGAATTTACCTTCAAGTCACACTATATTAAAAATATAAGTGTGGATTTAATATTATGGCCGGTATTCATATATAGTCAATTCTTTTTGTACTCAAAATCGTCTTGAGTACAATCTTAAGATAAGTCATAAGCCAATCACAAAGTCGTATTAGTGTCTTAAACATTACTTAAGACGACCTTAAAAAAATAACTATGAATATCGATCTGTGAATGTTAAATACAGAGTATTCTGGAAATTTCAGAAAAAGAAATTTAACTGAAAAAGGAATAATTCTATATAAAAATAAATCAATAACCGTAAATAACATTTTTCTATATTTTAACAAATCTCGTTGTACACTATTCTGTACTTTCTGTTTATGTTTGTGTTTATTGTATTGGATAATCGAGAATACACGGTAAAACGGGATATTCACACACGTGAGTTTTATTACTTTATAAATTATTGAAAATACTATTGATATATCCAAAAATAAAACTTCATATAAAAAATATTTTATTCTACGTTTTCAACTTATTTTTTCATGTAGAACCATCCCCTTCCCAGTTGTACTGCGAGAAATACCCTGTATACTAACCATTGATAAATTAACCAATAGGATGTTGATTTAACAACATATGGTGTTAAATTGTTTAGACAATTGCTGAGAATTATGTAAACACCGAATAGTACTAAATCCACATTTATATTTTTTAAAGTACATCTTAAATATATTTAGAAAGAATTGCAAGTTTTATAGCCTGTGTCTATCTATAAATATTGACGAGGGATGTGCTCGAAAGTTATTGCGTAATTATACCATAATACGTTAATATCGCTATATGGCAATAACGTAGAAGTAGAAAAGAACGAAATATGTCGAAGTTTTAATATGTCAAAACCTACATGGCATATTTTTACATTATTTCTTATGTTCATATTCCTCAATAATGTATAATACTTTCTTGAGTAATTATATGTATTATATCATATATCTGCTTCCGATTAATATTTCTTCTGTTATGTTTTTTCTTTCTGGAAACTTACGTGGCAAACCGCGCATCGATAATCGACTACATACGCCACGTGCAAGAGTCAAATGCATTTTCCTCCCCCCTCCCATAAAAAGTCAAGAGAATCTCTAGTAATTTAGAACGAGGACATTCACGAAGTTTCCTTGACCTCACTGCTGTCGCCTCTCGAAGATATTCGCGAAAACTCGAAAGCGAGCTACGCCGTTACTATTTGCAGCTTGCTTGACTCGCGCAAAAAACTTCCTCGAGTGCATTCCCGATTTAATCGGATATTTCCATCGTCACGATTCTACTCGATAATGGAATCAGATCGTATTTCTTCTTTGCATTATTTAAGAGAGACACGTGCATTAAAGTGCCGCGGAGGAGTCCATTCTTGAGTAAAAACAATTATTCCAGAACGATACGATATCTTCGATTTACAAATATGTAATAGAAACTCTGTTACATATTTGATTCTTTGTTCAGAATAATCTCTTAATTTTAACATAGATTATGTATAAAATATGTAGATCCATATTCGTCTTAAAAAGAGAAGCATTAAAAGTTCTATTTAAAGAAAATTTTGGAATTATATCATAAACTCATAACAATGTCTCTAAAAGATTCCTAACATTTTAAGAATAGAAAATCATTTCTTATATGTTTATAGGTTTACTGACTGTTTAGAACAAAAAAAAGAAGACTAAATTCTTTTAGGTGACATAATCTTGCTTCTTCTTTTTATAAATAATTAACGTTGCAACAGGAGTGTGCATATATAAATATTTTTTGGGCATCATATATATTATTACAAAATTACTAGCACATATACTCACGAGATGCGAGTCCCTAGTGGTAAACGTAATTGGATCTGCTGTTCTGGGTTCACGACAGAAAAAATCCATTTTTCCCCAAGCCGCAACACCCGCCGCTCCGCTCTTGGCCGCTTCGATCAGTTCCATTCTGATTCTTTCTGCAGCAAACTCCACCTGCGAACATACGATCATGACAATTAGTGTACGCGTTATATAAAATAGAAAAAAAGTTGAAACTTTGATTATTATTTTTTTTTAATTGTCCTGAATTTTAACTAATTGAATTTATATTTTCAATTTAATTTGAATTTATAAATTCATATATACAATTTCGGGCCAAAAGTTTTCAAAAGAAACATCTTTTAAAATATTCATAACAATGTTTTTTTAATAATTCTTCAAATAGCCGTTATTTGGATTCATAAAATTATTATTAAAAAAATACATTGTTTTGGATATTTAAATATATAATCTAAAAAGTATCAATTTTTAGAAAGTATTTCTGACCTTTTGGTCTGGAATGTATATTCTTCACGTTCTCACGTCCCTACATTCCTCATTTAAATTCTTGTTAATTATTGAGCTATGCCCGGCATTCTAAAATTTCACTCGGAATTAGATGCTTTATTTTAAATTTTAGTATGTAAAACGGAAACAGTCGTCAAGTCTCGATCTTCCGGAAAAATCTCTTTATTTGAACTGGCAATATAAACAGCTGGAATTTTTGTAGAACGTAACTGCATGCTTGTTTTCTTAGGAATAGCTGTTCTCAGAAGAAAGACCCAGAATAAGCAAAGAAATGTCAGATTATCTTATATGAGATATCTAGCTTTTGGTCATAAAGGTTACTATCCATCAACAGACATGCAAGCGCACTTGATACACATTGGTTGAAAAAAATATTTTAACTCATTTTAAATCAGAAAAATATAGGTGTGTATGTACACACACACACACACACACACACACACACACACACACACACACATAATATATATCTGCAAGTTAATCGAATTTAAGAAAAAATATGGTGATAAAAAAATAAATAAAAATTTTTAATCTATATCTGCAAGTGTAAAAAACTAATACATTTTGACATACTATATAGAGCAAAAGAAAAATTTATATTTTTCGCTTCTAACGTCATAATGCAATATGATTGCAACGGGAAGCTAAGAGCCTTAGGTAGAAGTCGAAACTTCGCGAAGAAATTCCGAACAATTTACATATCGCGAGCGCGCGCACGCTCGTAAATAAAACTCGTAGGAATAATTTACCGAGCGATTCACATCGCGTTACTTAAGCTGCAAACAGTCAGCAAATTGCAGTTGTCATTAACCTTTCGCCTCAGTAGTGCGTTTTATATTGTGACACGTTTTATCGCTTCATTCGCGGTTCTTTGTCGCCACTCATGGCGCGTTAGTTTGACTTTACTCTTCACGGGTGAAACTCCCCAAGTAAGTTGCTGGCATGAATATTTCATTGCGTTGCGATGACCACGTCGACACTATTGGACGGAGACATTTTTATTGGTTCCTACAGAAACTTAATGTGCGTCGTTCTACCAATAGAAATAATTCCAAAATTTCCGCTTAAAGCGTGAGCCTTAGTTAAAAATATTTTTAGTACTTAACAAGTTTAACGAGCATTATGGTCATTTATTTAAGGGCTCTTAATTAGGAATCACTCCAACTTTTACTGTTACTCACCGAAAAGTTTCAAAAACTTCAACAAAAGTTAACTTAAATTCTTTAACGATTATAATAAAAATCTTTTTACAATTCGGAGTTTAAAACTATACTGATATATTTACTGGCTATCAAAAGGTAATTAAGAAAATGGGATTAAAACTTTTCATGGGAAAGATCAATTTACACTGCCTCAAAAACATAAAAAAATTTACAATTATATTGTTGCAAATAAATATTTTAGAATTACACCATATAATCAAATTTTAAGAATGTATCAGATGTATAGTCTCTGCAAAAAGTAACTAGAATTAGAAATTTTATGTGTACTTTCCGTATAAAAATGAATGTTGTTTACGAAGTAGTTCAAGAAGGTCAATATTTATATTTAATGATACAATTTTACAGTTTAAATAAAAGTTTTCTCATTTTATTTTAATTATTTTTTAAAAACTTATCTATATCTAATTAAAATAATCTTTGGACCATATTCTAAATAACAAACTTTTTACATTATCTTCAAATATATATTAAAAATCTATAATTTTTTCGTAATTTTTTCCTTTTTTAAAAAAATATGTACAATACATGCTTAAGGAATTGAGAAATATTTTCCTGATTTTAATTTCACTCGTACAAAGTTAACAAGAATCACGTTATTTTATAAGTGCATTATGTTACGTTCCTTTATACTATGTATATAACAGCTATCTTTTAATCAAATTTATTATAGCGTAGAATGTTTAAGCAATATGTATGCTCTCAAAAGAACTCGATGAGTCTGTGATTACATTCTCTTTACTGACACTACAGGTATCTCGTCAAACGTTCGACACACTATCGTGATTTTCTATCGACAATCGTTCAGAGTAATTTTGGTATCACAGTAATTATCCGATATTCGAGTAAAAAAGAGCACAAAAAAGACAATTTAATGATTATTCCGCTCGATGGTATGATTCGATCACCAGCGCTATTATTATCTCATCTCGCGAAAAAATAGCCGTTTGCTTATATCAAAACAAATAAGAGGGCATACAATAAACCAGTAACATTTGAAGTTATTTCTCTATATTAACAAAAAACGGAAACACAACTTATTTTGTGTTTCCGTTTTTTTGAATTAGTTCAGATTTAGAAATTATTTAATACGGGCTGTGTTCTAAAATAAATTTACAAGTTAAATTTTAGATACAAATTTATTGCAAAAGTTATAGTTAATTCTTCCTAAAAATGTCACCGATCATCGCTTAATACAATTTTCCAATTCAACTATCATTCATTTTATAATTAAGATTAAAATTTGTTAAATAATGTAAGTTGGAAATTGACTGAAAAGTATAATTTTTACATTTATTTATTCCTTAGAGATTTGCTCTATAAAATATATTTTATTTTCAGTCATTGATCATTTATTTTTCTTTTATAATTATTATTTATATTCCGGTTTATTAAAATGCAATAATTTTGTCTTTAGTTTATCACTTAATGTTATTTAAAGTCTCTACTTTATCTATGAAATTAATTTTAAGTTATTGTAGTTAGATATTTTCCAATTCAACTATTCATTAGAATAGCTTTATTGAGTTCCACTGCATTTTATATTATTTTCTTGTAAAATATTGAAACTGATATTTTTATAGTTTATGTAGAAATCTAGCATTAAAATAGCCAATGGCTTCTATTACGCTTTATGCAATTTTGATTCCAGTTAAGCTTATTTACGGTGTAAGAGGATAAGAAAGCTGCTGCAAGATATAAATAAGTCATGCTGCTAATCCAACCTTTCTCAGACATCCAACAAAGTTGATGATCCCTTTGGCGCCCTGCAAGGACCTCGCATCAGCTCCTCCACCAACGAGAAGTCGATCGCTGGCCAAATGTGTGAACGACCCCGCAGTATGACCATGCTCAGCGTAAACCCCATCGACAATAGCAGAGAGCTATAACAAAAAGAATAATAGAATAAAAATTCTATAACGAATTATAGAATTAACTTTAACTCTTACTTTAGTTCACTTTATTATACACAATTAGCACATATTTAAATTGAAAAAAATATTAATATTATTAGTTTAATATAATCTTCAAAATATATTAGCTTTGTAATATTTCATAATTTTTTAAATAATTTTAAATTTCATGATTTTCTCAATTTTTTGTTTATTTAAAGTCTACATTCATTAAATGAAGGCTTGTTTATTCCGCCCGTAATTTTTTCCAAACCGGTAAATTGCAAGCGTCGTTATATCTTGCTCTTCCTATAAAAGTAACCGGCATTAACGTCGGTAACGCGCTTCCACATCTCGGTAAAAGAGCGGCTAAAGTTTCCGGGGCGATCATGCGGGCATGTCGTAAAGTTTAGCATTTAGACAAGCACCGTTCTTGAGGAGCGGTTCGTTACGACCTTAGCAGTGGTGTCGATAGACGTTATCTTTCGGTTATATTCTTCCTTTTTAGTCTACCAATGCTTTAACCAACGGAAAGGGAAACCGGATAGAACGGGCAGGGTTAAAACGTTAGGATGTTACGTCCTCCCGCTGTACCTCTTTCGGAGGCATTTAACTGAGAGGAAGATACTATCCTCTTACTACTCTTCATCTTCGCTTAGCACCAGGGCCGCCGCGATGCAGCCTGGAGATTTTTAGTTTCAAAAAAGTAAATCTTAGAGCTTTTTCAATTTAGGCAATTACAAATTAAACAAGTTAAAACATTCGAACATTTGCAGTTTTATAATAAAATTTACATTTTTAAACATACTTTAAAAAAAGATGTAAAAAAGAATTAGAAATTTTCAGTTTTATATGTAACTTATTGACAATTTCGAAATGTTAGTTAAGTACAGAGTTAATAATTCGATTAATGCAATCATGAAAATTTACACATTTGTATATTCCACATAAAATTTGAATAACTTAGAAATATTATAATAATTTAACATTAATTTTCGTTTTAATAATAATGTAATGAAAATAGGAAATCTTATAACATTTTATAAAATTTGAGATGTTTAAATACGGAACTATGTAAAATTAATGTAAAAGAATAAATGTATAAAATATTATGTAACAACATATTGTAAACATATTGTAACTGAGATTAATAAATAAGTTGATATAATAAAAATAAGTTAGATAAGATTATTATATATAAACTGTTAATTTTTGTGTACAGTAATAAAATGCATTATTGTTTAAGTACAATTATATTAAAACCTATATTTTTAGAAAACAACATGTTACTCAGCAATGAAACAGGATATAAAATAAAACCATAACAAAGATAGAACTATGAAAAATAAAGCTTTGAAAAATAATCTCTTTAATTAAGTTAGCTCCAAAAATATGACGTGAAGCATTAAAGCCGTATAGGGCCGGCCCTGTTTGGCGCTTCCGCCTTTCCTCATCGTAATTAGGTAGCTCTCTTGTCGAGGGCGCTTCCTTGGACCGCAGTCGAGCAATCTCCTTCATAATCCTCCAAGCCTTATCTCCGATGCTTCTCAGTGAACAAATAGATCTTGAGCTCATCACGATGAAATTAAGGAACTGTCTACGAGTAACGGTGTTCCACACAGTAAAGCGTACTTTGCATAAAAGTGTAAAGATACGTTAATGCGTTTCTACCATCACTTAATCATAACTGCATGTATTTATGACAAAATTTAGTAATAAAGTAATATCCAATTAAAACATAGTTGATATGTAACTCTAAATGAGGAACTTTATGCGCGTAATGTTTTTCTACGAAATGATAAATTCGTAGCAATAAATAATGAATTTATTTGTAATTAGTAAGATAATTATTTACGTAATCAATTTATAAATGACAAATCATTAGTTAAATCGATTCAACCGCTTTAGGTATATGTATATAAGTTATTAAACGCTTGTTTATGTATTATATGTTTCTGATTATTTATCTATCATTTATCGATCACCGATCTCTTTATCGAATTATTAACGAAGATATATAAATTAAAATTGAATTGTTCGATAAGCACATATCTTAAATATATAGAGACTTTATAAATTTTCAGTTTTATATCTCCTATGAGGCTCATTACGTTCGTGGATTAGCGTACTTTGGCGAGTCGCTAATTCAGGTGGAAATTTAATTAAGCCGAAGTAAATCAAAATTCGCAGCTTTGATTTGAATCGGGAAACCGCAATATCTCGCTCTATCACGAGGAAGAAATTAATTTTCTGACTTAATTAATTTTCCATCTTCATTAGCCGCTTCTGGACTCGCTGACTCGTGCTAATGGCCATCTTAAACATTTATAACAGTGTCCAAATGTGAACTGAACTGGTAATTCATTGTACAAGCAACTATTTTCTTTCCCTGAAATTGAGCTAACATGATAATTTATGACCCGTCGCTTTTAAAATATAATGTATATTTTGTGTCCGTTTTGTTATTGTCATTTTTCGTTATATGAGTTCAATGATTAATATTCTATGAATTCTTGCATTTTCTCCATTAATTCTACATTATATATAATAACGTATATAAATATATGTACATGCATAAGTATATATGGTCTACAACGTTGCAAATAACTTAATGATAAAAAGATTAAGCAATATATAAAATAATAATAATATTAACCCAATCGACATCAACTAAAAGTAACATAACATCTATGTTATTATTTCTCAACAATATAATATAACATTTACATTGTTAAGTACAAAATTATAATATAAATGTTATATTACTTTAATCGATGTCAACTGGAAACTTTTATACATTTTCAATAAAATTTTACATACAAGAAAATTGCATATCTAAATATATTTTACACATGCCACATAACTAAAATTAATTTGTTAATAATATAGATATTACTTTAGAAACCTAAATGAACGATGGCGCGGAAAGGAGCCATGCAAACTCAATTTAAAAGAAGAATGTCCTCTAACCACCTTTTTCCTTGTATCATGATAATCGTGAGCCACCAAGCGTCAGCAGACATTCCTCGGTTGCGTGCACAATGTATTTGGGGCAACACAATAAACGTAGCCAGGAAAGTGGGCCGCAAACCCACCGGAGGAAACATACGCGAGAGAGGGTCCCTCTTGCAACCAGTATGCTGATCCTCGTTTGACGAATATGGAGCGAACGGAGTGACAAAGGGGATGGAGTAGACTATTTATTACAACTAGACGTAAGCTCTACTTAGCCGCTCACGGATGACGGACATTGTGCATTTGTACGCGTCCGTGGAGACGCAAAAGTGCATCGTATTTTGTTGTCGCTAATGATTTTTAAATTTTGCTTCCTAAGTATTTATCGCACATTGTAAATATAATAACATGTAAAAAAGTAACTATTAAATTTTATCTCTTTTATATAAATGTAATAAAAAGTTAAAAAAGTTATCTATGATTTTTATAATATTACGAAATAAAAATCCCAAAATTTTAGAGATTTAGAAACGTTTTAAAAATTAAAGATATTAAAAATAAAGATTTCAAAAAATTAATTTAATTTAAGTAAACAAAATTTAAATTATTGAAATTCTCGTATTAAAAATATAAAATTAAGGTTCAAGTAATGTTCTTTTAATTATATACTTTTATTAAAATATTGAGATTGTAAATATAATCCTATAATATATACCTATTTGAACTATTTGTTTAATATAATATTTTTAACAATGCTTATTCAACTACTATTTGAAAACACGATGTTTTTATCACGTAACAAATAGCAACGTTGTTACATGTTAAAAATGGAAGCTGCAAAATGATTCCGTTTCACTATTGGTTTCGTTCGCTTCACCGATCGTTTTTCTACATTACGTCGTACCACGGAAATAAATGATTTCTATGTTTTTAACGAGATCGTAAATTATACCCGACACCCTGAAAGGCGGCCTGCGGAATGAGTGAAAAACAAGGAAAAAGATTCGTGGGAAACCAGGGAAAACCGGAGAAACGTCATCATCGAATTTACTGGAGCATCGCGAAAGTCTTAAGAACGGTTCAAACTCAAACATCGAGGTGAAAAGACGGGAAATGTGAAAACTTCTACGCGCATACTCACGAGGGAAGAAAAAGACAGTATCAATGCGAGATCTTCTTGCTCTTTGCATTATGAATGATTTATTCTTGCTTTTTAGAGCGATAACGTCGTGTCACAATCCGACATAAGATATAATTTCAAGGAAGAGGATAGTTTTTAGGATAGTAACATATCAGACTGATTTCTATTTACATGTTACATGTCCAAAAATGAACATCAAAATAGAAACTGTTGTGATAATCACTTAATTGCAAAGTTTATTTCATGTTACTCTCTAAATCTGAATCAGTGAATAATCACTGATATCAGTGCCAAATATACTGGTAATCAGTAAATGAAATGTGAGATCCCTAACCTAGCTGATCTTTATTATGTGATCTAATTAATCTTGTTTTAGTGCATAAATTCAATTAATATAGTATTGGAAAATTGAAATTAACATGAAAATATCAGTATTTTAGTTATATCATGCTCAAACATTTTTTCTTTTTTAGTTAAATTTCATTGATTATCAGTGCCAAATATGCCACTGAGTAATTAGTGACTATCGACTGATTCAGATTTAAAGAGTACGTTGTAATTTCTATAATTTTAGCGAGATTGCTAATTTTTATCACATAATGTCTCGTAGAAAAAAAAATATATGAAGTGGAAATACTCGCATTTAACTAATGGGAAATTGTCAGCGATAAGTAAAAGAAGTAATTTACGTTTACGTGACAAGAAATTCGTGATAACGTCAGTATTTTCAGCTCGCGAGCTGTACCGTAAATTATGCAATCGATCGGTTTCGCGCCCATTTGCATTTCAGAATCTTTTTCCGACTCCTCACTTGAAAGCAGTCAAGTGCAGGCGAGATGCATCAGCTGCAACTTTTTCCGCCGTCTCGTCGAAATCGTCGGTATATTTCTTTGAGACAGACAGGCGATGGAAAATTCATCGTTTATTGAAATGTTATTCCGTTTATAATATATAAAGTAATTTACTATATCTCTTACATGAACAATTGAAACATTAGTATTACAAAAATATAAAATGTGGAAAATTATTCTTATTCGTCTAATTTTACGGTGTAAAATATGTAACTTCCTAAATTAGATTAATTGATTAAAGTTATAAAAAAAAGTCTTTTATGTACATATTTCTATTCTTCTCTTTTTTTTCTCTTTTCCCCGCTTCATCTCTCTTCAATTATATTATATTTATACATTAATTATAAAATAAAAGTAAAAATTTATGTTAAAATGTTTCTATTATTTTCAAATGTTTTTGTTAGTCTTCGAAATTTTCTTTTACCGAATTATTTCTTTCTCTCTTAATAACTCGATTATCTGAATTTCAAGAAATACAAAGCATTGTAGTTACAATTAATAATACTGTGATATGTTTTGCAGTTTCATTAAAAATCTATCATTTATTAATTCTTCAGTCAGAACAAAATGTAGGAATTTCTTCTCACGGTATAACATCATTTATAAACTAAAAGTCCTCCGCGTATTTTATAGTTCAGTGGCATTGAGCTAGGATAAATAATGTGAGAACATTTGTCAACTTATTTCTGTATGCCACTCCTGTGAAAATACTTTCAATAAAAAATTCACACGAGATTCTTTCCTCTCGGAAGCACAGCGTGCGAGACAACGACGCTCACGTAGGCGAGAGGACGAGACTTGAATGGAGATTTCGAGATCACCCGCGTGTCTCTGGTAGGACATGAGTAGAGCAATAAAAGGACGTGGCCGGAGGATCTAAATGGATGGATGACTGAGCCCTTGTTAAAAATGCCTCGACATTTCTCTAGGATACAGGCAACTTCACGCCCTCCGTTGCGTTCAAGACGTTTGGTAAGAATAAAGATACTTAGTAGCAAAAAAGAAATAATCAAGTCTAATATTTAATCAATTTAAGATAAAAAAATATTCGAAATGTTCATCATTAAACAGATTTCCCCTACAAATATAATATTTTTTTAAATTTAATCTTGTAATATTTTTCAAAATAATCTTTTTTATAATTATATTTATATAGTATCGATGTACGTTATTGCAGATAAAATAGGAATTATAATCACCGAATCGAATTAAAATAAAATAAATTTGTCGTTTGATAAAATATAAAAGTAATATCAATTATTGAGTGTAAAACAAAGCCTTTTATAAAAAAAGTACACAGAGAAGAATCGTGATTAATCAACTAAATAATGTAAATTCAACTGGAACGATCGTAATATTCTTTTACGCGTTATTTTTTGCGATAATATTTGCACCACTTTCAATGCAATTGATCGGGTGCGTCAAAGCGCCCCATACGTACATACGTACAATATGTGGTATAATAAAAATCATACACTCACCCTGCAAAAGCTGGTTATTGAAGAGATCTGAAACATAAAGCATAAATGTGCAATCAGTATAGAGTACACAGTATACATTTTATGCGTTTCCGAGCGGCGCGGCGCTGACAATTGAAATCCAAAAGTTGCCCGATGTGCGAAAGCTTTCGGAGCTCGATCGTTGCGAAAGCTCGCGAGCTATTCGACGTCGAGCAAAACTTTTCGTCTGGATTATCATAAGAACTTTTTTGATGCAAGAAAGGTTACGCGTCGCGTCGCTCGAGAAAAACGCAAACGTATTTTACGTATTTGTAGAAACTTCAGCGATTTTTATTTCCTCGCAAAAGAAGGCTCGCAATTTGGTGCATAAAAGCTTTGCTTGGCAGTACGAGTCAAGTTCGGAATTTAAATTTTTTTGCAGAAGTTCATTAGGAACTTAATTATCTTACCATCTTTTAAATGATAATATCGGTCTGTAAGATCACTATCCGAGCAAAACCCCAAAATTCTCTCTTTTTCGCTTATTTCAAAAGATAAGTAGCTTTTATTAAACATAAATAGCTCGAAAAATATTCCATTTCGTTTTCATTTTACTTTATTTTCGTTCACTCTTCTTGCAGATATATGACAGAGATAAAATTGTTTAATTATTTTTAAATGAGCGATACAGAACTCCAAAATTTCCCGCTATTGATAACGTTTCGAACGTGTGTGTACGACAAAGGGTATTTGCTTTCTAAACGCGGGCAGTTAGCGAACATGCGGTTGTGTGGGCCTTATTAAGGAGTCCCTTTGATCATGAGGCGATTAAACGACTGACAGAACGGCAATGGCTAGAACGAGAAAGCCGGTGACGAGCTCTTGCTTTTGCGCGCTACGAAATGATCACGAAAAACGCACACATACGTATCTCTTCTTGTGGCGATTATACATCGTAGTCACACAATTGAATTTGTCAAACAATCGTTGTAGACTTTTTCTTTGTCGTTTGACGATTGTGCACGTTAAACCAATACATTGTGGTTATACACTTTATAAAGTTTTTATAATATACAATTAACTATTTTATTTTTATTGAATTTTATTTTTGTTGAATTCGTACTTCTTGCATATTTAATAAATAAATATAATTCATATAAATTTTTATATATTTATAAGTATATTTTATTTATTGTTGTATATTTTGTATCATAATGTCGATTGTAAATATTTGTGCAAAAGTTAAAATAATAGATTATAAAAAGCAGTTATCGAAATAGATGACAAGTACAATACGTCATAATGTATAACACTTGAAAATATGTGTAAATTGCAATATTTATTTTGAATAAAATTTCACACAATCATTATAACATCGAATTTAATGCGTACATTACATCAATTTAAGGATTGTATTGTTATGGCAAAGCAAACAGCTTCTAAAGGCTTATGGTCAGTCCTATACGAATGGCTCTTGATTCGGTATTATGTTAATATCTCGGCAAGCAATAGTCGATACGCTCATTGTTTGCCTTTGATCAGTTATCTGCCTAATTGGCTTTCGATTTAGTTCGCCTTCAGGCTCAGCGAGTAATATTCGATGAGATTTCCTATGCTGAGTACATTGTCGAGTATAAAAATAGGGTACAAAGAGATTACGAGCTCGATAAGCTTTGTCCCTTGAAGCTTAACGCTCGGTATCTACACGAGTTATAGAGTTGGGCTTTACGATTAACAAAAAGTCAATATTTTATGAGGCAGTTTATAATTTATGTCAGAATATGTCGAAATAAAATATGAAATATCTCAAAGTATGAATTTTACTTCCAGTACAAAGGGGTTTAATCGTATTTCTAATTTATACAATATTTTAATTACAAACAATCATTAATACAAGTACATTAATTAAAAAATAAATCATCTATCGAATAGCATTATTTACGATGCTGTAAACGATGTTTTTAATATCAAATGTATACAATAAATGTGACTTTTGTTTTACATAAAATTGGCATTATGATCGAGATTCCAATAAGATTTTCACTGAACGTCGTGAATTTAAAGACAACTTTGCAGCATATGAAAGAAAAGCTCCGGCATTCCTTTGGATTCTCTTTCGGATAAGCTAATGTTTGTTCAACTGAATCATACGTAACGAATTAAACGTTCCCCGGAAAACCGCTCGAATGCGTTGCAAATCTTTCTCATTCATGAGAATGATTTAATGCCGCGGCTTTAGATGGGGGTACTTCAAACATTCCGCAAACGAAGGATCGTAGATCCTTCTATTCCGCCGTAATTCTCGGTGATCTCTTCCCGGATATTTCACAAACGTCGGAGACTAACGAATCATATTCATTTCTCGAAGAGGAACTCTGATTTGGAACGTTATAGGGCGTTTGTCTATAGATTAACCTTACGCAGCATTGTAATTTAGAAAGTAAAGAAGATCTTTTAAACGTTTAATAAAATGAAATCACGATCCGAAAGAGATAACATATTATTAGTAAAAATACGTTTTTAATGTGCACGATCTGCGTGCTGCTTATCACATAATTTCTCAGAAAGATTCTTTATTTTTTGCTTAAACTTTTCAAACAATTCATTTTATTATTACTTTGCATGCTCT